TTCAAACATGACATTTTGAAAATCATCCATGAATTACATGCCTCAGGAATGAAAGGCTTTTCTGTGCCATTTAAAAGTTGTCTTTATTTTATTTTATTATTATTATTATTTTTTATTTTGAGGGCAATCATGAATATCTGTAAGGGTATATTTATTACTCCCAAAACAGATAGAAAATTAGCAGTCACAAAGTTCTTCCCCAGCTTTGCTTTTGCAGCTGTGTCTCAATCCAGTCCCTCTACCACTTGCCCTGCCACTAAAATGGTTGAGGATGATGTTCTTTTTACCATTCCAGGCAAAGCACTGATCTTTGTATGTTGGCTTTCCAAACTTCTACATGGAGATGGAGATAGAAAAAAAATAAAAAACAAAAAACAAAAAACAAAACAAAACAAAAAACCGCAACTGTCTCTAAGCTTTTTTCTTCTGGTTCAACAAAGAGTTGCTAGTCCCATAAACTTATTTCCTAAGAAGTCTTACCTTCTGATCCCAGAAAGTGCCCCTCTTCTTCTAATCCCATATGGTAAACCAATACTAAGCTTCAGAAAAGCACCAGGCTGTAAGCTTTCTGTCTTAATTTATACTACTGTATTCAGGATCTGTACACATGGATGTATGTTCCTGTGGATACCCACCCAGTAATTACCACGGCAAGCCTTTAATTAGTCTGAAATAGTGCAGGCATAATGGTGACAACCCACATATTTTTCCATTGGAAATTGTAAGTGGATGACAAAGGGAGAACCCCGTCATCTTCCCTCCCCACACATAATTTCCTGTGAAGTTTTTCATGATTTTGTATGGCAGGCCAGAATCCCTGCTCATGGGGGTATTGATCACTGTTGCTCAGTTGATTAGAACAGTGCTACTCAAAGTGTGGTCTGTGGAGCAGGGCTGATTTGTAGTCAGCAAGGAGATGAATTCGAAAGTTAGGAGACGGTTTCACCAATTTTTAGAGGGATCTGGCAGAGTCATTTTCTGTCTGTTGGATCTAATCATAAAAACTGGGGGCTTATTATTTGTTTTGTAAAAGCTCAAAAATCTAGTAGAGCCCCAATCTCTTGTCAGAATGAGATTGAATTTTCTTTTTTGGTAGAGATATCACCAACAGTAAAACCTCCTCTCCACATGAGCATGATGATAATAATAGTAAGCTTATATTTGAATGGCACTCAGTAAGTATTAAAGCATAAAGTATGTCTTGGTTTGGGACTCCCCCAAAAGAGAATCTAGAGAGAATGATCTGAGCAGATAGCACACTGGAGAAATGATTCCGGCAAGCAACAGAGGGGGGTGGGGGAAGAAACGTGGGGATGGGAAGGAAGCCAATAAATGGCGTGTTAGCAAGGAAGTTACCACTGTGGGTGAAGGGAGCTCAGTCAGACTGGGAGCTCTGAGAATAGTATAAAATATGCTTCAGAATTGCTCCACTTAAGGGTGAGGAGGCTGGGGTATTCATCCACATAGTTCCTCTAGGTCAGCTGTTAAGTGCTCCTGGGCGGGGGGGCACTGTTAACACCCTGGCACTTTACTCTGTTCCTTGTGCAAGCCAAGGGGCCCCACTGCCCAGAGAAAGAGATCAGGCAAAGGCTTGATCAGTTGAGAGTTGGGCTGGTGGACTTCCACCTGAAAGGCTGGTGGACATAGATGTGTAGGAAGTGTGGTAAGTGCCAAGGGGGATGTGCCAGCAAGTAGGTAGAACAGGTGGTCTTATCCAATTGATAGATGGGAAACTGAGGTCCAGTTTAGCACTATAATGCAATGTGGAAGATGGTGAGGGGCTGGGAAGGACTTCTCTTCTTTGGTCACCTACTTTGGGCCCATCCAGAGATCCTTCTGCTGACTTTCATTCCTGCCTTGTGTAACCAGGTAATTGGTGGTTTACCGCTGTGGCAGACACAGGCTGAGTGCTCACATTGCCAATCTCGGCTTCCTGCACCCCCAACGCCCCAACTAAACTCTATTTCCCAATCGTCCTCGCAGAAGAGTGTGGCATGGAACAGAGCTGTGGAGATGGAGAGGAAATGATGTACAGTACTTCTCTGCTTGACCTACATAAACCTTTATGCTTGTCCTGCCCGCTCTTTACTCTTCAAGCAGGCTGGAATAGAGATGACCCCCAGGACATCCTAGAGAGTCACAACTTGAAGATAGCTGAGCCACAATATGGAAGGAGCCTGGACCCCTGGGTCATCACTTAGAAGAGAGTCACTTGACCAGAAACAGACCCTAGCTTTTTACTGAGTTAAGCCACTGTGATTTTGAGGATTATCTATTACAGCAACTAGTATTGCCATAAATAATGCAACATACGTGTGTGATCAAATAATTTATTTTTCTTTATATCACCTATCATTATCTCAGATTATGTACTTATTTATTTTTCGGCTGCCTGCCCTCCAACAGAAAGACTCGAATTTACATACTGTTGTATCTCTGGTAGCTGGAACAATGCCTGGCAACTAGGAGATGTTCAATATATAGTTGCCAAATGACTAAATCCCAACGTCTAAGCTTCATGGCACATGGTATCTGACAGGCCCCAGGAACTTCGTGGCTCTTATCTTAGTTTGTTCTCATAACAACTGTATGAGGAAACGGAAATGCACAGAGGCTGATTAACTTGTCCAGTGGAACCCTGCCGGCAGGTGTGGGAGCCGGGACTGGAATACAGGTCATTTGAGTCAACCTTCAAATTCTTAAGTCCTCTCTGCACATTGCCTGACGTCTGCCCAGTGCAGTGCTATGAGCTCAGGGTGTGGAAAAGTAAGGGACACGACACCTGCCCCAGAGGCCCACCCAACCGACGACAGCATGGGACTTGCCTGTGGGAGGGAAAACAGGCCAGACTCTGTTCTTCTAGAAATGTTGAGCTCGGTTACTGACCCAACCAGAGCCAGAGCTCAGCTATAGGATCAAGAACGACCAAGCTGAGCAGAATATGTAGAAATAAAGCCAGATCCTCTGTGCCCAATATGAGACACTGTAAGGGTTGATGCAGGGACATTTGGCAGATTTGAACAATCTGAGTAAAGGCAGAGTGAGTGAGAGAAAAACAAACAAAACCCAAACTGATCCTGTGAGTGTCGGAAGGGAGAAGGAAGGGAATGTGAGGAAGGGAGTAGAACAAGGATTAAGGTTATGAATGTTGGCTTGGTGATTAGAAAGAACTGGCTTCAACCAGCTCTTCCAAACACTCCGGAGACTATAATCATGGTGGATGATTTTACTGGGGCCAAGGAGAAAGCCCCGTGTCCCAGTCCTCTTCCTCAACTTTCCCATGTGTGGCCACTAGAGGGCCTTGGGCATCTCTGTTTGCCCCTCTTGACTCGCTCACATGGGGCACCCAAGAGGCCCAGTGGATTATTAGAAAAGGGGCTCTTTTTCCAGGGAGAATTGAAGGAGCAAAAAATCTGATGAGAGGTCTTTGTAGAGCACTTGCTGAGGGGTCATATTTAGGGACTGTGGGTGAGGGTGCAGGCAGCCTACTCTGCTGCAGGTGAAGTTGGCCCTTGAGTTCATGATCCACTTGCAAGGAAGGAATTACTTGGGGTTACCCTGGAGCTGGCTTGAGGTCCTATGCTGAAAATAAGATAAGATTGCCTTGTCTTATCAGATACCCGAGTAGAGGGGTTCTGGCTTTCTGAGTATCACTCATTGGCTTTGGGACTGAAAACTAGCTTATCCTGATAGAGGCAGACCATAGTTCAGCAAATTTCCAGAGGTATGGCACTAACCTGATGATGTATAGGAGACCAGGGATGTATTCAGTAGGCAAAGAGCCCAGGGGCCCTCCCCTGCCCCCAATTCACCTCATCTTCCAACTCTCATTTTACTAGGTCAGCAAGGTCTGGTATGAAAAGGCAAAGAGCCTGTTGAAAATATTGTTCATATCAGTCATTCTCACTTTAGTAGGAAAGACCTCTGTTCCTTTTAATCTTCCATGCTAAATCCTTAATAAAGACATCTTAGATATAGCTCCAAAACTTACTACTCTTGTTCCTCTGCTCATCACTCTAAATATACTGGCCTTCAGAAAACACCAATTTCATTCCTTGTTCCTTGTTTTTATTCTTACTTTTTTCTAACTCCAAGTATGTCCACTTCCCCCTCCCTCTTCTCTGCTTTATGAAATACCACTCCTCCATTAGCCCCAACAGGTACTTCCCTGATTCCTGCCTGTTTTCCCATAGTACTTTGCACTTACCCTTAAAGAAAACATTTATTAGAGGGTGTTACTGTTGTACATTTTTTTCTCTCATCACTCAGTTGAGCTCCTCATGTGTTTCATCTCCAGTCTCTGCTTGAATACCTGTCCCAACAGGGAACTCACCACCTCAAAGGCAATGCAATCCATTGCAACCAACTTTCTTTTTTTTTTTTTTTTTAAGATTTTATTTATTTATTTGACAGAGAGACACAGTGAGAGGGAACACAAGCAGGGGGAGTGGGAGAGGGAGAAGCAGGCTTCCCATTGAGCAGGGAGCCCAATGCAGGGTTCGATCCCAGAACCCTGGGATCATGACCTGAGCCAAAGGCAGACACTTAAAGACTGAGCCACCCAGGCGCCCTGCAACCAAATTTCTTTGCAAAAAATGGTTTTCTTATTATTAGAAACCAAATCTGCTTCCCTGATATATAGATATATTGATTCTCTCCCTATCAGTTCAGTTGTTTAAAATTCCTTCAGATGTCAATAAAGCTTCTCATGTCATAATAGAAATAGCTTTTAAATATAAATATTCTGAGAAGGGAAATACATGGGTAATTCATTCTAAAGTGTATATGATTGATAAAACCTTTTCCAAAAGAACATATTTTATTAGGGGAACTTAGGGGTGGGATCAAGAATACCAAAGACACCACCAGGACACCAATAATTTGATATAGTAGAAAGAGCATTGGGCCAGGAAATGAAAGATGGGTCCAATGTGATATATGTTTTTTTCCTGGGTTTTGGTTTTCTCATCTGGAAAATGAATAATCTGCATAATGAGTAGTTCTACTTACTTCTGTCATTGCAGAATTTTGTCCTGCTCACCTGGATGGTCTTTTTTTGGAAAGGGATGGGGGGAGGTAGGGGAGGGGTAGGGGTAGAGGGAGAGAGAGAACCTTAAGCAGGCTCCAAACCTAGCATGGAGCCTGACACAGAGCTCGATCTCACGACCCTGAGATCATGACCTGAGCCGAAATTAAGAGTTGGATGCTTAACCAACTGAGCCACCCAGGTGCCCCTCACCTGGACTCTCAAGCCTTTGTTCTGGCCTGCTTTTCTTAGCTCTTTCTTAGCTCTGAGTGGGCAAAAACTTATCTGTGTGTCAATGAGTTCAGCCTCCTGGGGACTGGCTTGACATTCTTGGTGCCAAAGATGCCATGAGATATACCACCCACCATCACATCAATCAATGAGCCTTTTATTCCCACCTGGTTTGAACCTTCCTTTCTCCTGCCTTGATGCCCTGGGCCTACTCTTTATGGTATTTGCATCATAAATATTTGCAGGTTACACATTTATTGCAGGTAACACATTTGATCATGATTTTATGATATATTCTCTTTTCCTGGAGTTTTGCAAGGAAAGACTGCATAAGAACAAACTCTTTGTCTTAAGTTCCACACTACATAACCAGGTCATATTACAATGCTTGATGCACAAGACTCAATGACTCAATAAATACTTTACAAAAATAATGTAGTTTTTTCCCCCTTTCTTAAAACATAAAAAAAAAAAAATAGGATTTTCAAGACTTGAGTCCCCCTACTCTTTTTATATGTATTTACTGGTAATATATTGGTGGAGAAAAACATTGTTACGATGGTATTAGAATAAAATAGATGAAATGAGGTCCATGTTCTTTTCCCATCTATTTTGCTTTTATTTTTTCTTTTGGAAAAGTGCTACTACCTGTTTTTATGTCCGACCTTCCCGCAGGCTTCTGAACCTCCCACTAAGACATGAGCAGAACTTCTGCCACTCTGAAGCCTTTTAGTAGAATTATAGCATTATGCTAATATTGGCCTTTTATTTTAAAGCCTATTTAAAACCAGTCCTCAGATTTGCCCCTAAAATACCCCTGTGCCCCCCACCCCCTATCCAATCTTAGGCAAGGGCATGTTGGAAGCCGAGACGCCAGCAAGGTGCGTCATGACTAAAGAACATTTGGTTTAAGGTGGGCGTTTTCTTGTTTTTGATACACTTCCATTGAGTTATTTAGTTTTAAAAAAGTTATTCCAAAATTCCCTTTCTCTTCCACCTCCTTAAGCCCCTGTCTGAACTCTCACAGAAGTGATTAAACAGTTTCACAACTCCAGCGAAAAGATTATGCTTAAGTCACATTCATATTAAATAAGTTATATATAAAAACTGCTTATAACGTTTACAACTCAGTCTTTCCCTCTTTGCTTCTCCTGGAAGCGCAGGATCTGGGTATAAATCGAATCCCACCCACTATGGCTTCCAGGTTCTTCTTCTGGCTCCTTTGTCCTCATCCTCCTGCTGACATCACCCCTCAGAGGGATTCCAAGGAGCTCTGCGGGCATTTTGGATGGCAAGGTGGCTTCAGACGGCAGTCACCCGGGCCTTGTGCGCACCTCTAGTGTAATTTATGGAAAATACCCGCGTGGTATATACAAATATCCATGGATGCGGATAAGACGAACTCTGCCCCGGCGGCAGATCAGCGCAGTGCGTTTGTGTCAAAATACCGGAGGTGACATCTCCTTAGTACTCCCTGGCCTCTTGGAACTGCTTGATGTAATCTTCGTCCGAGGGGCTCTCCGTGCATTTCTGTCCATTGTTGGGAGGCCGGGCCTCGTTGTATCTGCTCCAGTCGCCCTTGCAGATAATCCAGGGCAGGACGTCCACCTTGTAGTGGAGCTCCGCTGAGAACTCGGTGCTGATGAGGTTGGGCGTCCCCGCCCCTTTGCCCCTGGTGATGAGCTGCATGTTGTCGCCATAGCAACAGTGCTGGGCGGCCAGCGTGGTGCTCTCCAGGGACAGCATGGAGCGAATGCAGTACCGGGCCGTGGGCTTGTAGATCTCCAGCTTCTCCTTGGGCCCACTGGCGTCCTTCCAGCGGAAGTCCTTGCGCTTAATGCGATCAAAGATGTCCGCGGTGCTGTAGGCCACCTCGGTGGGGTAGGAGCACGGGCAGCTGGGCAGGTCATTGATCACCTTGTGCATGTACTTCTTTAAGAACTCACTTTTGCAGCTCATCCATCGCTCGCAGCTGTCCGTGTCTGAGAAAGACCACAGAGAAGCCCGCTCACCACATGCAACACCGGGGGCAGGTTAACACTGAAGTCAACTCCTCTCCTCCCAGGGACAACCCCTGCTGTCCCCTGGAACCACCAGCCCTCGGTTTGGTCATGCTCACCCCCCTTGAACTTGGGAACTTTATTTACAAGGCAACCTCCTCCCCACTTTATACTATGAAAAATGTTCAGACACAGAAAAGTAGAGAGATGATACATCAGCAGTGACTACCTGTCAGCAATCACCTAGATTTAACCATTACAGTTGCTTCATCGGTCTTGTTTCTTGAAAATATATGATATTATTATCCCTGAATTTTAGTAGGCATCTGGAAAAAAAGGGAGGATAGGGGGCCTATAACAAAATGAACAATAATACAGGGCAATTTTGAATCTCCTCTTTAAGTATCTGGTGACAAGGTAGAAAGTGCCTCAAAGGCAAACTGGTAGGACTAAGTTTTATTTGTGCCACTCACCGACAGGTTTAAGCTAGAGCTGGTGGCCTAATCTCTTAACCACAGGCACTGGAGGGTGACAATCCCTGTAAGCAAATCCATATGATAAGATGCCTCAAAGAGGAAGGGGCTGGTAGCCCTTGCTTTTAGGGAACTTAACATTTAGGCCAGAGGCCACTGACCTCTAGGCTTCCAGCCAGAACCTGCCCCTAGAGGTTGTTGTATTTGGACCTTACAATATTAAAAAATGCTGAATTCATTGCTAATTAATTAATTGTTGAAATAATTTAAGACTTAGGTGGTTCCAGTTTATTAATGTGGATTCCTGGTTTTATTTGAAAAAACAAGATATGTTTGTGCTGGTCCTGCCCCCAGGAACAGGCCACTTGTACAAACCAAGGTTGAGCAGAAAAAAATCTGCTGGGGTTGTCTGGGGGTGTGGAAAACATTCGGTGTCACCGGGACAGAGTTTATGGGGAAGGAAGGCTGTGGGTGTCAGATTTTGGGGCTCTTCAGTGCAGTTTAGACTTGTTCAGAGGACACTAGGGAACCACTGAAGGTTATTAAGGACAGTGAGCTATTGGCTGAGCTGTACAGGAAGAAGATATATTCAGTGCTGGTATCAGCTGCAAGAGTCCAGGTGGGAAGGAAGAGAACAAGAGGGATCAAGCGTGCTCAGAGAGTTAGGGCCACCGGGCCTGGGTGGGCTTGAGGGGAAGGAGGAGAGACATCAGGAGTGACTCCCCAGCTCTGACCCAGGTGCCTGGGAGGCTGGTGGTGCCCGAAGAAGGAATCAAGTGGCCAGGATGGGGGCAGGGTTGGGGGCAGTTTGGAGGAGGGCTCAGGCTTCTTTCTCTTCAGTGGAATGAGGAAGAGAGAGATGGGGCATCTCTCAGGAGCTCAGAAAGGCCTGGCCTAAGAAGAAGAGTGTGGGATCTTGTGTTCGGCTCCCTGGGATCGAATTCCAGCTCGATGGAATTAGTAGCTCATGCCCTTGTGCAGGTATAGTCTCCCTCCCGGGGTTTCAGTATCCTCATCTCTAAACTGGGGATGAAAAGAACGCCTGTCTCCTACAGTGTGATGAGGATTAAACTGCAGGAACGTAGGGAGCCCTCCACACAGGTTCCAGGGTGCTGCCGGCGGGGCTGTGCTAAGGCTCCACTGGGGCCTGAGTTCTAAGATTCCAGCCCTGTGAGCCCCGGACTGAACAGTAGGGAGAGACTGCAGGCTCCCTCCTGGGAAATGTGTTTCTGCAAAGCCAGGGAGGGTCTCCTCCATCAGACAGGTCTTCAGAGACAATATTCAGTAAGGCCCTAGAAAATGGCTTGGTTATTTTCCTTCCAGTGTGGAAGGTCATCATAATTCATGTACCTACAGAACATACACTGACTCATTTTTATCTATCAAACTTGGTAGGTGTTCAGTATGATGGGCACGTTCTAAATGCTCTGCCAGTATTAACTCATTTAATTCTATAATAGCTCTACAAGGGGGCCCTATTACCTTTTACCATTTTGCAGATCAGATAACTGAGGCACTACTAGGTTGACAAGTGACCCTGTGCAGATCAAGCTGTGTCCCATCTCGGCTAGGCTTCTTCTGTTTGTCCTTCTCTATCCTCATTCCATGTTTTCCCTTGCCCTGGAAGGTTGTCCTATGTGGACTCTATCAATGGGCCCCTTGAGCCCTGACTTCTCTTTGGGTTGAGCCAAAGGGAGGACCTGGCCAGAGACCAGGGGCAGAGAGGAGAGTGAGGTCAAAGTATTTGTTCCTGTGGTTCCTCCCTCATTGTTGCAGGTTGGCTACATCCTTCTGAGAGCCCCAAGTGCTGACAGGTAGGGGCCCTTCAGGCCAAGGGGTGGTAAGGGCTCCCCACTGTTCTGTCCAGCCCTTCTTGGTATCCATTCTACCCTGCTCATCACAACTTTGCCAACAGACCCTCATCAAATGCTCCTCAATTACCTGATTCCAGTGTGTCATGTTTGTTCCTGCCCAGAACCTGATTGGCACCCATCCTTGCTCATCTCTGTGTGTCTTTAGTCCCACCTCAGGTGTGGCTTTGTGCTACTGGACCTATCCTCTTCAAAAAAGCAAGCAGCTACCTGTTGCAAGGTGTGCAATATGGAAAGACCCGAGAAGCTCTCTGCCCCCAAGAGACAACCTTTGTTGCTCTACCATTTTTATGTAAATTTCCCACATTTAGTCTCTAATTTCTTTTGGGGTGACAGGGGTGGGGTAGTCAAATGCATTGTGTTTGCAGAAAGTTCCTGCCAAAGGTAGTTTGTGCATATGAAGGACTGAGGTTGAAGCCCTGGGTCACACAGGATGTCCAAACTGACTCCTGTTTGGCCGAGGTTGAAGAAGTTTTGGGTGGCACACAGACATGTGACAGAAGGAGTCTCACCTTTCTTTAATAAAGAATTGCATCCTGAAGCACATGAAGCTATTTTTAAAAAGGAAGCTTTTCCCTTGCACCTGAGTAGTCACTTGCAATTTGGCTTGGTTCATGTGGATTGTGTTTGGTCTAGCACTTTTGAGCAGACAAGTAGCAGGGTATGCCAAAGGTTTACAAAAAATGTATGCGGTAGAGGGAGGCAGTCACAATACTGAGAGAGCTCCTTTTCCCTCCTTTTGCTACAGAACTGAGACCAGCATTGCCTGACTTCTTGGGGACACTCAGTGAGGGCTGTCAGAAGAGATTCCATGTGGCCTGAGGCCCCACTGGAGACTGAATCCATGCTGAGGAGAGAGCGGCCCTGTCCCACTTCTTGCCATGGAAGCTGGATAGTAAGCAAGGCGGACACAGAGGCCTCTCTGCTCTGCTCAGCCTGCTGCAGGAGGCACGGGACGGCTCTCTCTTGCTTGGAGTATATTCAGTGAGCAAGAAATACGCTGGGAGAACTAGACCCCATAAGAGGAAAATGAAACACTTAAATGGATCCTAGGACCGGATGGCACTGCAAAGGCAAAGGAATCTCCAAAATAGTAAATCAATATTTGGATTAGAAAAAAAGGGGGAAAAAAAATCTCCTTACCAACTTCAAACAGTTTGGTGGCATTAAACTCCTCGCTTCCGGCCAGGAGACTCACTTCGGTGGCAGCTGTCCTGAAGGTGTCTTCAATTCCTAAAAACAGACAGGAGCTCATTTTTCCCTAGTTATATGGAAAAAGTGACCCCCCCACCTCCCCAGCAAAACAAGAAACAAATACACCTGAACAAAGCCTTTTTTGTATTCATTACTACTCTTGGGTAGGAACTTGCCAGTGGAGAAACAGTAAAAAGCAGGTAGTAGAGCATAAAATATATTAAACCCCCAGATACCATTTGCAGCATGAAATCAGATCCAAATGTGCCTGAATGAGTCTTAAGGAACTCATTCACTAGGCCCCGGAATAGGGTTTGGGGCAGGAGGGGACACGTATCTGTCTACAAGACTGTCTGTCTGGTGGTGTCAGGGTGACAAACTGGATTAGAGGCAGTGGTTAATATTTTGTCTAGTGGTCAATACCAGTTTTCAGGACCGACTGACTGGGTTCAAATCATTCCTAGCCTGTAACCTCGGGCAAGCCACTTAACCTTCATGTGCCTCAGCTTTCACATCTGTAAAATGAGGAGATACAAATGCCCCACCTCATAGAGTTAAATGCAATCAATGAATTATGTGTAAAGAAAGCACTTACAGCAGTAAGTGGTGAGTGTTAGCTGATAATTTCCCCAGGAGTATTTTCTAGCTCATTTTGAGGATATAGCAGTCCATAGCTAAAGAGCAGATACCTCACATTCTAGGACGTCTAGCACTGCCCATGATGCTTCAAAGAGAGTAAGCTGGGCTTGTCATTACTTGCTCTAAGTGGCTGAATCCAGTTTGTTTCCTACTTCCTGGTTCCCCTCTCCCTCCCTCAAGCTACCACTCCCATCCAGGCTTCCCTTACAAACAGGATTGCTGTGCTAGCTGAGGCATCTGAGGAGGCCAGGGTGGTGGAACATGGTAGTCTATGCTGGTGGAGAACCTTGGCTGCCTGCGAGGCATGACTTGATTTCCTTTAAGGGGCTCTCTCTGGCTTTATGTGAGGCCCCTTGAACTTATTTGTAGGGTTGACCTAGGGGACAAGCTTTTACAGTGTAATCACTGCCAGGCGGGGGTGGGGTGGGGTGGGGGTGGTTATTGCCTGCTCCATGATTCTTCCCAGTAAGGCTGAGAATCAACAAACCAAATAAAGAAAGAGATCCTGTAAGAAAAAAAATCCTTCATGTTCCAAAGGAACCCTGAAACACTGGACAGATGGCCCAGGAACAGAGAGGCAGAAAGGATGGAAGAAGGGCAGGGTCAGAAGAGAAGAAAATGTATAAGCAGGGCTACTGGGAACATTGCTCTAGGTGGTGAGAGAAAACAAGAAGGAAACATTCAAAATGGTGGTCACCGGGTGGTAGACTTGGATCCGGGTACCAGCTTGGGACAAGAAAACAATAGGCAAGCCCCTGAGCCCCAAAACTAAATGCTATCTATATCCACGGGTGGCTGAGCCCCATATCCTTCCTCCTGGTGGCAGTGGAATAGATTAATTGTTAAAACCATGGACTCTGGAATCAGACTGCCTGAATTCAGATTCAAGATTGATCTCTTGCTGCTTGTGTGACTCATGCAAGTTAACCCCATGCCTGTTTCCACAGCTGTCGAGTGGGGGCAATAATAAACACCCACTTCATGAGGCAATTGCAGGGAAAATGAAATAAGGCACATGAAGACCTTAGAAATTTGCTTGATACTTAAGTCCTCAAAAAATCCTATTCTCCATGATCTTCATTATCATCTTTTTTTTCTTCTTCATCTTCATAGTCTTTCTCTTCCTCCTTTGTTGTCTTCCTCCTCTTCCTCCTTCTCTACTTATTATTTATGGGTTTATTTCCACCTATCTAAATCCCATCACATCAGACTTCCAACTCAGCTTCATTATGATGAGCATGAGAAAGATCAGGAAAAGCATCTTGATGGTTGCTCCACTTTCTGAAATCCACCCACATGCCTGACATAGACCAGAACAGCCACTTGTTAAATTTCAGCCCCATTTTCTACATATGCTCTTTGCTAACATACACATGCCCAATCTGATCTTTCCTCTCTCCCCTCAGAAACCCATTTGCTCTTCTGCTTCTTCTTCTTTTTTTAAAGATTTTATTTATTTATTTGAGAGAGAGAGAGAGCATGAGAGGAGGAGGGTCAGAGGGAGAAGCAGATTCCCCACTGAGCAGGGAGCCCGATGTGGGACTCAATCCTGGGACTCCAGGATCATGACCTGAGCCGAAGGCAGTTACTCAACCGACTGAGCCACCCAGGTGCCCACTTCCACTTCTTTTTTGTTTCAAATCTCAGCCTTATGGTCTGACAACTGAGTTCTAGGAATAGAAAGAGGAAGTCTGGGGGCGCCTGGGTGGCTCAGTCGGTTATGGCCGGACTCCTGATTTTGGCTCAGGTCGTGATCTGAGGGTTGTGAGATTGAGCCTTGCATCAGGCTCTGCATTGAGTGTGGAGCTGGCTTGAGATTCTCGCCCTCTCCCTCTGCCCCTCCACTCACTTGCACTCTCTCTCCGCCCCCCCAAAAATAAATAAAGAAAGAAAAGAAAAAGGAAGTCTGTATCAACCTCACACCCAAAAAACAAATAATCCAGTCAAGAAATGGGTGGAAGACATGAATAGACATTTCTCCAAAGAAGACATACAAATGGCTAACAGACACATGAAAAAATGCTCCATATCACTTGGCATCAGGGAAATACAAATCAAACCACAATGAGATACCAGTTAGAATGGCTAAAATTAATAAGATAGGAAACAACAAATGTTGGCAAGGATGTAGAGAAAGGCAAACCCTTTTACACTGTTGGTGTGAATGAAAGCTGGTACAGCCACTCTGGAAAACAGTATGGAGGCTCCTCAAGACATTAAAAATAGAGCTACCCTACGACCCAGCAATTGCACTACTGGGTATTTACCCCAAAGATACAGATGTAGTGAAAAGAAGGGGCACATGAACCCCAATGTTCATAGCAGCAATGTCCACAATAGCCAAACTGTGGAAGGAGCCGAGATGTCCTTCAACAGATGAATGGATAAAGAAGATGTGGTTCATATATACAATGTAATATTATTCAGCCATCAGAAAGGGTGAATACCTACCATTTACACCAATGTGCATGGAACTGGAGGGTATTATGTTAAGTGAAATAAGTCCATCAGAGAAAGACAATTATCATATGGTTTCACTCATATGTGTAATATAAGGAATAGCATGGAGGACCACAGGGGAAGGGAGGGATAACTGAATGGGAAGAAATCAGAGAGGGAGACAAACCATGAGAGACTCTTAACTCTAGGAAACAAACTGAGGGCTGCTGGAGGGGAGGTGGGTGGGGGGTTGGGGTAACTGGGTGATGGGCATTAAGGAGGGCACATGATGTGATGAGCACTGGGTGTGATATGCAACTGATGAATCATTGAATGCTATGTCAGAAACTAATAATGTACTATATGTTGGCTTATTGAATTTAAATTTTAAAAAAAAGAAAAAGGAAGTTTGGGCATGTGGGGATCAAACTTTCTCTGAAATATCTTTCAGATGAAGCCACTCAGAATGTGCCGTTTCTTGGAAGAACCCGAGATCTTATTTTAAGCTGGTATTCTACCTGGCAACTGGAACACATGTAAAATGCAAAACTACAGACCAGGAGTTGGTAAATTGTTTTGTAAAGGGCCAGAGAGTAAATATTTTAGGCTTTGTGAGTCACATGTGGTCTTGGTTGCATATTTCTTCCCTCCTTTCCCCTCCTCTTTTTCCTCCTCTTCTTTCTTTTCCTCTTCCTTTTCCTTCTTCTTGACCCTTTAAAAATGTGTATGCTGTATAAAAACAGGCCACACTTTGATACCCAACTGCTACAGACAAACACAATTATTTTTTTACCCCCAATATGGCCTCTCACCAAGTTTACAATTAGTTTAGTTTTTAAAACACTGACAATGCAGTTTATTTTTTTTAAATATTATTTATTTATTTATTTATTTTTGCTTTTGAATCTCTGGATTTTAATGCATTTGCCCAGAGTAGGCAATGCAGTTTAAAGTAATAATTAACTGGGGGCGCCTGGGTGGCTCAGTCCGTTAAGCGGTTGACTCTTTTTTTTTTTTTTAAGATTTTATTTATTCATTTGAGACACAGAGATACAGAGAGAGAGCATGAGCAGTGGGAGAGGCAGAGGGAGAGGAAGAAGCAGACTCCCCACTGAGTCAGGAGCCCAATGTGGGGCTCGATGTGGGGCTCCATCCCAGGACCCTGGGATCATGACCCGAGCTGAAGGCAGACGCTTAACCATCTGAGCCACCCTGAGCGGTTGACTCTTGATTTCAGCTCAGGTCAGGGTCTCAGGGTCCTAGGATTGAGTCCAGCAGGGAGTCTGCTTCAGGATTCTGTGTTTCCCTCTGCCCCTCCCCCCATTTACTTTCTCTCTCTCTCTCAAGTAAATAAATAAATCTTTAAAAAAAAGTAATAATTAACTGCCAAGTTTCCTGTTTCCTCCCACGGAGCCTTTAGCAACTCTCCCGCCTCACCGACAGGGCTACCAGCATGGTTTTCCTGTACGCGTCTGTGAAGTCTTTCATCCTGGCTTCCTTATCAGACCATGAATGTCTCTCTGCATGTGTCTCTTCAAGGCACAACAAATCCCACATCAAAGGCCCAACTTAACCAGAGTCCCTCCTTTAAATTAAACAAGTACACTGCAGCATTGTCTTCTACGTCATGGCCTTTGCAATTGTGCATAAGACTCAGAAAACCCATGTTTCCATCCATTCAGCTCATTACCCATCTCTTGTTTCAGTCTGGTCAGAATTCTTATTAGGGAAATGGTTGTCCTTTAAAAAGTCATTTTCTCAAAGGTCTAAATATAAATGAAAAATTTCCCCTTGAACTTGGCCACTCCCCTGCATAAACCCACCTGGGCAGTTTGGACGGTCACACGTCCTAGATTCTGTTGCAGTACATGCGTAGCCACAAGACCTGGTGCGTTTCTGGTTGCCATTCCCACAGGTGACACTGCAGACAGACCAGAGACTCCAGTCGCCCTCACCATCTGTGGAATCTGGAAGGGAGCCAGGGATACGGTCACCAGCCTCGCCCGAAGAGTCCCCAAATCCCCCTTGTCAAGTAGCCTGCCAGTTGTCTTCTCCCATCGTTCTCACCGTTAGAGGGGACCAGATGCCAGCTGGAGTCAAAAGGCTTGTGGCTCCAGAGTTCATTTTAGGGATTAGCTTCATGAGAGCAGGGACTCTGTCTGAGGTTTTGAGCACTGTGGTGGTCAGCACGTGGCCAGGGCCTGACCCCTAGGAGGTGCCCAGTAAGACCTTCATGAGAATGCATGCATTTGTAGAGTATGGGATCATGCAATACTATGGTAGGTAGTTTCCAAAGATGACCACCATCACTTCCTTCCCTCCCCATACATACATTCATCGAGAGAGCAAGAGCGAGAGTGAGCAAGTGAGAGAGAGAGAGAGAGTTTATTTCCCCTTCCCTAAAATCTGAGCTGACTTCCACCCTAGGAGCCTGGCAGCTTCCGACTTTCGCTCTGGGCAATCCAGTCACTCTGAAAGAAGCTGAGGCTAAACCTGTAAATCATGGGCCACCACATGGAAGAGAGGAGGCACATGAGGGGCCTTAAGATACTACACAGGTGAGTGAAGCCTTGTTGAACCTTCTAGCCCCTCCCAGTGGACAGCTAAATAGAGCAGATGCCATGGCGAGCATGGCAACTGCCTCGTGGGGCCCTGCCTGAACTCCTGAGCCACGGAATCAAGAGATAATAAACTGCTGTTGTTTTAAGCCACTGAGTTTTGGGATGGTTTGTTATACAGCAGCAGATAACCGCTACATCATGGTAAAGCTAGAAATGATCCTTCGAGGTCATCACTTAATATCTATCCAATGAATATTTATTGAGCCCCTTTGTATGCCAGGCATAATTCTAGGTATATGGGAAATATCATTAAATAAAACTGTCAAAGATTTTTGTCCTGGTGGAACTAATATTTTCGTAGTAAGAGTCAGGCAATAATTAATCAACACAAAATGAGTAAGTTACACAGTATATTAGAAGCCAAGAAAAGGTATGGAAAAAAGAAGTAGACCAAACTGGGGCGCCTGGGCATGTGAGGGGTGTGAGGAAGGTCGGTATATTATCAAGAATAAGTTTCTCCTTTTAAAAGTAAAGAAACTAAGTCCTAGAGTGATTGTGGGGGGACTTACCCAAGGTCATAAGGGTAACAGAAAGGAAAGCTGGGGTCCTAGTGCTGAGCCCTTGATCTCCACAGCATGACTCCCTCTGCAGCATCTCTCCTCTGTAATAATTTCTCCTGGTTCCTCCAGATCTTCCTACAGCCTTGGGGCCTCTGCCAGTGCCAAGCTTGGCGCTATAGGCATGTGCTTTGCTGGGAAGGGGTCCTTTCGGTTCCTAACAGGTCACGGTGATCATTATTATGTAGACCTGGCAAGAATGTAGTCCACACATGTTTCTACCTGCAGTGTGGGCTCTTTGCCAGACTCCCAGGCTGTTGTTTACATGGTGCTCACTCTGAACACTCCTCAGGCAAACACAGGGCCGCCGAGTCTCCTCAGCCCATTAAATGGAGTTGGGGGTGGGGGGTTGTTCATGGTTGTATTCTCATCCCTAACCCAGAGCAGAGAGTTTGCCCACAGGGTCCCCATCCACTTCTCCTCCTTCCCCAAAAGGAATCTTTTTGTATTTTGATCTTCTTCTAAAGAAATGGTTTTCCAGCAACACAGCCAAGCCAGATGTTTGAAACTACTGTCTCATGTGAAGGAGTTGGGCCTGTTTCCCCAGTGTGAGCCTCTTCATCTCTCCCATCTCTTACTAGGCATCAACACATAGAATTGGGGAGGCAAGCTGCTTCCGGAGGGAGAAACCACCTTGGTAGGGGCAGCTGCTGCTTCCTCCAAGACCTCTGGGGTCTGGTATCTCTTGGTAATGTCCCCAAGAACATCAGAGATATGCCTGGAACCATCATGACATCACACTCTCATCAGGGGGAGCATTCAGGTGCAGTGGGTAATAGGCACACATGAACACACTCAACCACATCCTACACATACCACCAAGACCAGCTTTGTTGAAGGGAACAACAGCAACAAAAAGTCACAAATAAAGACTGTACTGTCATTAGACTCATCAAGGGGGTGGTGGGCCAGTTAGAAAAAGTTTATTAAATCACATAGTAAAGTTCCTGTATCTACATGGTGGGTACGTAACCAATGATGCCAAGTGGTGTTCCTGCTTGGCTCAGCAGAAGCAATGGGACTGCAGCCTTCTAGAAATCTCTTGCAACATTTCCTTCCTGTTGCAGTAATATGGAGAGATAATTTTGGGAAATATCCTTGAACTTTGAGACTTAAGCATTAAACCTGCTATGAGGCTTATATCAGAATCTTTGCACAAGGTAATTTCTGGTCTTGGTTTCTTGGATCTAAATTACTACACGTTAATACTGTGTCAGATTATGTGAAAAATGACTTCCATAATTCCTCTCCCCATATCAACCCTTTGGTTACTTTCCTCTCCTGCTGACCCCCAGCCTGGGCTATGTGACTTGCTATGGCCAACAGGAAAATATAATGCAAACAAAGCCTGGAAGAAAAGTGTTCGTGCATTAGGGTTTGCCCTCTTGCTGTAGAGAACTCTTCCAACACTATGTGAAGAGCCTGAGCTGGCCACCTTGAGGGTGAGGGACAGCTGGAGAAAGACCCCAGCCAGCCACCTGTCCAGCTGGGGCCCCACTGCTGAGGGAAACCATCCTACACAATCCAGCCCCAGCCAAGCCAGCCCAGAGCTGAAGAACAGTCCAGGCAAACTGCAGATTCTTAAGAGAGAATATGTTCTTTGAAGCTACTAAATTTTGGGGGTGGTTCCTTAAGCAGCAAAAGTTAACTGTTACAAATATACCATAAAATTCTCCCTAAAATATGCTTTCTAGATGGCTAGTGGACTCTGGAACAATGAAGGGTTCATTATCCCAGTAAGTGGCTTTCTTCATGTTTTTATTTTAAATGCTCACAAAGCCCTTTATTTTCCAAACTTAAAACGTGGTCCCCCAAAGTCGGGCACAGAATAGATCCGTTGCCACGTGGCTAATCATTTCTATTAGGCTAGTGATGAAGGGCTAAGCATGTATGTCAGCTCACCATCCTGAAGGCTCCGTAGCAGATTGTCTCAAGATGAATGTCCCAGGAAAGACCCTGCTCTTGGGGAATCTCTATTTGTTCAATGTGTGTGAAGGACAGAAGGCTTTGAGGGCAGTGTTCCATTCTGCTTTAATAAAACAAGCCTGTTCTCATTTGCTCACCTGCCAGGGAGCATCGCTGAGAGCAGAAAATGAATGTGAACAGCAGTAATTGCTAAGATGACAACAATGACAGTAAAAACCAGTCCCTGTGACATCAAAGAGTTCAGTGAGGGAAGAAAACAATCTGCAGTGTACTGGGCTGAGAGCTGGGTTTCAAGCATGTCATTTGAAATTTTAAAGTAGTGATTAAGCAGTTTCAGGGCACTAGATTTCTGTGGGTCAGTGACAGTGTCTGGGCAACTGGAGTGATTTGGGTCTTGACTTGGTCATGGGCAAGCCTCCACCACTAATCTTAGATGAGAGTGGCTACCAATTTTTGAGGGCCTGCTTTAACCAGCTTCTCTGTCTAAACATACTGATTAAACTCCTGTAATAATCCTGTGGGTAGGTGAAAACATCCACCTTTTATGGATAAGGAAACTGAGGCTCAGAGAGGTTAAGGATCTTGCCTAACGTCACACAGCTCAAACCTGGCAGAGCTGGGATGAGATGTGAGGTCTCTCTGTGCCTGCCGTATGCTGTTCTATATCCCGGTACCCCTGCAGCTATAATTCTGGCCCACACTGGCCTCTCTTTTTTAAGACATCCACTTAAGCCTTGACAAAACTCACTGTGAACTCTATTAAAATAGGCCTATGACCAGGCAGAGAATTGTAAAGAACGGAGTCCCAAACCCAGGTTATTGTAAGCAATACCCATCTGGTTTCATTATGCGGGTTATTCAGAACAATTTTGGGAATGGTATACAACTATTTGACAGAAAAATATTTGTTTGGACTCTTTCTTTGTCCTTGACGATACCTTAAGTATCTCTACAGAAGGCATTTCAAATATAGCACCTCAAATACAGTCCAGAGTGGAGCCAACTCATGGTCCCATCATGTTCCCACAATCACCAACTAGGTCTAACTAACTTCCACCAACTTCCACCAAATAGGTCTAGGTGTTTTATAACGTAGTCTAAGAGAAGAGAAGCCTGGGCATTGGGACTTTAAACAACTGCTTAGGTGAGTATAAGGAGCAACCAAGGCTGAGGACTGTCACTCTGGAATAGTGGTGCTCAGTGCACCAGAGCCCCCTTGAGGGCTTGTTCAAACACAGATTTTGGAGACCAGCCCAGAGTGTCTGATTCAATAGGCCTGGGGTTGGGGCCTGAAAATTTGCATTTCTGTCACAACCTCAGACCATGCTGATGCAGTTGATTTGGGGTTCACACCTTGAAGGCCATTGGTATAGAGGGAAGGAGCTGGGGCCAGGATTGGTAACTTTAAACACTCAATCGGGGGATTCTGATAGGGAGGGTCTGAGCTCCATTCTTCAAAACAATGTCCCCTGTGTGCTAGGCAAACAGGTTAAGCCAGAAACCTGTGACATGTCAGACTGGCACCCAGGGATCCTCTGGGTTTCTCTTGCTTTCCCTCCCATTTCTGTCTCCCAAGTTAAGCATGCATGTCTAGAAACCACTCTACTGTCTGAAGGGATATGTTATTTTTTGTTCCCCAGAGAGGCAGAATAACAAAGTGGTTAAGAGAACAAACTCGGGGCTCAGATTGCCTGAGATGAATCTTAGGTCTTGACCCTTGAGGTCAAGTTGCTTCACTTCTCTAGGCTTCAGTTTTCCCATCTGTAAAATGGGGTACCTGCCTGAGAGAGCTGACTAAATAAGCTAATATATGTGAGATGCCATGAAGAGGCAGTAGTGCATGGGAAGTGCTATATAAATGTTGGTGACTTTCTCTTGGAAAATAGATAAACTGGACTTCTGGGAAAGGGGAGGTTTTACAAGCCTTCTGGCTAGAAGGAGTATGGGAGTTCTCTTTCTGCTCCCCTAGCATCTGATGTGTATCTCTACCATGGCACTGTTTTCCTCTATCACTCAACTTTTCTCCCTTGTCCACAGACAGGTGAGATCCTCTTTATGGAAGGCCTGTGTCTTTCTAACTTTTGGATTCCCAGAGCCTAGCACGGTGCCAGTCACAAGGCATGCTCTTAAAAAAAGGTCTTCCTGTTTTGGAAGTTGCTTAGCATGGTTATTAGCGACAGAAATGACAGCTGGTCTTTCCACTGAGAAATGGAGGTAAGGGTGAGAGTACAATGGTGTGAGACAAGTCATTCCCATCATATAACATTTTTTCCTAAGGCTGCTTAGGAACCACAAGAACACCGTCATGATGGAGGCATGTGTATGACCTCAGATATTCTTATAACACAAGGCAGGCTGCCCGATTCCCCACGAAGCCTTGCCGGGTCTCTTTCTCTTCTCACATACCCAGGATGTGTTTCCCAGCTTTCTTTGCATCTAGATGGGGCCATGTGACCACGTGTTGCCAACAGAGTCTGAGCAGATGTGATGTGTACCATCTCCAGCCTGAGGTGGTTAAGAGCATGTGTGCCTTTTCCAGGCTCTGCCTGTCTGTCTCCTTGGCTGCTAACCAAATGCAGAGCATCCGGTGCGTAACTCAGGCCCTGGCAGCTGGCAGAGCTCTAAGAGGGAAGGAGCCTGGATCCCTGAATGACGGAGTGGAGCCCAGTTTCCCCCACTCTGTCTCCCACACCAACTGAAGTGAAAAGGGATTTTTATTATTTAAGTCACTGAATTTGTAAGGTGCATGTTACTTCCCCTCTCCTACTCTAAAAACATGGGGAACTGGAAGTCCCAACTTGGCATCTTGATATTTATTGGTGGGGAAGCCTTCCTTTGACAACCCGTGAAGCACGCATTCCTGTGGGTTCCCACGGGATGCTCCACTGCCAATGTCAAGCAAGGAAGCAGCTGGACACATCTCTTTGGACTAAGCTGATTTTCAGTATGAATTTTTACAGTAAAATATACAAGGAAGTTAATTTGGCAACTTCTTCATTGTTAGAAATAAAACCAAAACTTGGGGGGAACCTCAAAGACCCCTAACTAAAAAAAAAAATTCTCTCCTAGGATAATTGGTATGATTTAAAAATTATAGTCTTTTCAGAAAAATGTGGCTGTTGGTGCCTCCTTGGGGCTTCTGTGGAACAAAATCTTTATGAGGTATGCCTCATAGAAGACCCAAAACCACATACTGTAAACTGGGTTTTGCTTGGCTCCATGTCCATTAGGTCTCATCATCCTCATTTATTCTCCCCACCAATTTTGTATTGCTGGGTGGTAAACTCACCATATTCTGGCTGCTCTTTGGTTTCAAAAGTCCGGTGGCCCGGGGCTGGACGGTCCCACCCCCTGGGGGGGTTGAGGAAGTTGCTGTCATCTGAGGTACTGTCGTACTTATAGTCTTGGTCCCCGCTGTTGGCCCTCGTCAAGGACAAGGACCTCTGCCACCAGGCCCTCCAGTCGGGGGATGGGACTGACCAGCTGGGCTTATTCTCTGGATGCTGGTCTTTATCTGCTTCAGAGTCAGGACCGTCCACCACCTCTATGGTGACCTGAAGAATTCAGAACAGGCCAGAGTCAATGAGGAGTCTACAGCCTCCAAACTAGGTACCCTCGGAAGAAAGTCTAAGAGAGCAGAGGGAAATGATGGATGCGTCCCTCATGGAGGAATGCTGAAACTATATGGGGATGCAGGATGGAAAACACCCAGAGATGGCCCAATGGGCCCATGACCAGATAGGACTGATGTACATGGGCCTCAGGCTGGGAGGATACAGGTCATCACTGGAGTTACTGATTTACTGAAAACTACATTGTGGGGAAGTCTTTAATTCAAGGAGTAAACATGTACTATATGTGTTCCTGAGGTAACACAAGAGTAATTACAATAAAACCAAACACTTATTGAGCACTAAGTCTGTACCAGGCACTGTTCTAAATGCCCTACATATATTAATTTATTTAATCCTCATAACAACCGTATACGGTTGGTACTATTGATTGGCCCCTATGGTTGACCATCTGCAAAGACGGCCCCAGCAATTCAGCCCATCCTTGTAGGTATGTGCTACACCTCCCATTAAGAAGTGATTTCCTCTCCCTTTCATTCTGGCCTGGTCTTGTGACTTACTTTGTTCAGTAGAATATGGTAGGAGTGACACTGTGACAAGGTTTTGCAGCTTCCATTCTCATTCTCTCAGAATGTTCCTACCACTAGGGTAAGGAAGCCTTACACATAGAGACCACGTGGAGAGAGAGGCCACCTGGTGGAGAACTGAGGTACCTCAGCCAATGGCCGACTCCAGGGCCCCAGTCATGTGAGTGAGGCCACCTTAGATGCTTCGGCCCCGTTGGGTTATCACAGCCAATACCATGTGGACCAGAGACAAGCTCTACTGGCTGAGCCCTGTTCAAATTCCTAACCCACAGGACCATGAGCAATCCGATGGTCATCGCTTCAAGCTGTGAAGTTTTGGTTGCTAGACAGCAACAGGTTAGCTTTTCACAGAGAAGTTAACAACTTGTTTAAGGGTCACGCAGCTGGTCAGTGGCAGATGTGGATAGTCGAGCCCCAGAGCCCATGCTCTTTTTTTTTTTTTTTTAAGATTTTATTTATTTGCGAGAGAGAATGAGAGACAGAGAGCACGAGAGGGAGGAGGGTCAGAGGGAGAAGCAGGGTCCTCGCCGAGCAGGGAGCCCGATGCGGGACTCGATCCCGGGACTCCAGGATCATGACCTGAGCCGAAGGCAGTCGCTTAACCAGCTGAGCCACCCAGGCGCCCCAGAGCCCATGCTCTTAACAGCTTTGCCACCCTGCCTTCCAAAAAGTCACAGAAGTACTGTCCCCTGCAAGTAGGGGCACGAAGGCCACAGAGGCTGGTGGGGGCTGGCTGCCTCAGCTTGTGTAGAGGTGTGAGCACAAGGTCCTCAAGATCCACAGCTGTGGCTTTCACTCATGCCATACCCTGACCCTGTGTGCACACTCCTCAACCGACCCTCAGGGTCAGAACAGAGAATTCCAAAGCCAAGGTTAGAACTTGCTCTCGAATTTACAGAGCCTAGTTTTGAAGTCACGGGGCTGGAAGAATGCAGTTTCTTGGCTCTGAGAGACAATCAACGTAGAGAAACTTGTTTAAAAAATATAATAAAAGACTCGCTGGGTTCCTTTGGCCATCACATAGCCCTTGCAACACCCCCTGGATGAGTTGTGTGCAAATGAATCAGAAACATGTGCTTTGAGTAATCAGCGCAAGATGTACTGGGCAGATGCGTTTCCAGTTTTGCCCTAACCCAACATCTGATAGAGTTGCTGGGATGCTCTGCCAAATTGCACCAGGGTGTGCCCATCCCTGAGACAAACATCCCCTTCCTTGTGTGCTAGGCATGGGGAGATTTGAATTCTCCTTGCTTTGACCTTCCAAGGAAGTTGCCGGGCCGAGGCCGGGCCAGGGCTGTGACCTTGTGTGGTCCAGATACAAGGTCAAGAGTATGGCCATCAGTCCCGGAGTGTCCTTGGCTGCAGCCAGCCAAGGGAATCTTTTTTTCTGGTGTGGGATGCCTAGATGGGTAACACTGGCTTTATTCCGCACAATCACAATTTTCCACTCTCGTAAGCATCCCTTGCATATTTATAAGTAATTATGGAACTTTTAGAAATCTTTCAAAAAGGGGAAAAAAGGGAATCATATGTCTTATATCACTGCTGTTTGTTGGAATGTCTGGTCGCTGGAGAGTGACTGGGACCCACACGCAACTCTGGAAGGACAAGTGTCCCAGGAGTGCGAAGCTGGGCGGGGCAGAACCAAGCCGGGCAGTGACGGGGCAATGCTGAGCCTTTGGAGACATAACCCTTCTCCTCTGCAGTCTCGTCCCCCTCTGCCTACAGACAGAACAACTGAGCCGCAACAATCGTCTGTAAGGCTATTAAGGGTCTCGGAGGGGAGAAGCTGCCAAGAGCCAGGCAAGCCTGCAATTATGGTAATGAAATCAGTCTCTGGGTAGAAGATAAGGGGGAACATGCCCAACAGTTTTGGTATTCGTTTGTATTCAGACTGGAGTCAAAGGGATTGCCTAAGCAAAATGTGCCCTGCAATTTCTCCAAGCCGGGAATAAAAACAATTTCATGATTTAAGCTATTACCGTCAATACGATTTCTTTTTCCAAACCGTTGCTCAGATCCAAACAAAATAGATTTGTTGCCTGGCCAGGCAATAAGTAGCAAAATACAAATTTACTCCAAAAACTATATCAATGACTAAATCTCAACAGCTTAGAGGTTTCTTTTTCCCCTTTAATTTCTGGCCACTGCCCCAATTGAATTAAAAACAAAACAAAACAAAGCCCCAAAAAACAAAACAAAAAAACCCCACAAACCTTAGAATCCACCCTTCCCTACAGTTAATAATGTGGAAATCTCATACTGATATCAAAAGAAGAAATCTAAACCTGAACCTGAAATTTTATAGGCATCCAATTAAAGAAACTTAATGAGCATGATCAGTGGCTTCTCAGATGGCGGGGATTAGTTTTATATTTCCTGTTGCTCTCATTCTGTTTACATGTTCTTTAGCATCAAAGAATGTGTTGATAAAGATGCCTTAAACAATAATCGATGTGATGAGCTGAAGGTGTGGGAGTGAGTACAGCAGATTTCCAAGCCAATAAAGATGCTAGACCTTACCATCCTTTCTCTTCCTTTATACACATAATTGAGGTGTCTTAGTATATTTATTTCTTCTGGACTTCCATACCATGAGTCAAGACAGTACAAGCAAGAGAACTCTTTCAAAAGACCCAAGTCCAACAACTGGCAGGATCTTGTTAGCTCCGAGAGAGAGAGAGAGAGAGAGAGAGAGAGAGAGAGAGAAGAGTCCAAAATAGCTGCCAGTTTGGTGTCCAAAACTGGGAAATGAGGATAAGATCTTATGAAGTGTTACCAGCTTCTTTCCTCCTCTTGACAGTTAAGACATTTATTAGAAACAAACACTTTACACTCAGTCTCAAAAGTCTACTGGTTATTCAATGAATGACTGAGAATACAGAAGCCTTGACCTCAACTCAGGAGAATCTTCTACAATCTCTTAGCTCAGTCCTCTAAGCCTTGAAAGCTATGGTGACTAGGTAGGCATGGGTCAGTATTTCCCAGACAGGAATGTGAGCCCTAAGGTGAAGTGATTTCCTCAGGAGCACAGAGCATCCAGGGACAAGAAAACAAATCTCCAGTGAAAGGCCCGGGATTACGCCACTCCTCCTTCCTTGACAATCGCTGCAGAAAGGACACAAAATGGACTATGGAGATATATCATCCCCTCCTTTCAGACTCACTGATGCTCTAAAAACAACTATGGTAACCCAGCTAATGGTGGTTAATGCTTTGAGACTTGCAGCATGCTGGCCCAGATATTACTGCTTGTTCTCCGCAAGTTAGATTTGAATTTCAGGCACAGAAACTGGCATGGAGAACTCACGTTCCTGAGGTGAAGAATGAGGAAGGTGTAGAGCTGGTCTCAACACTAGCTCTTGTGATTCCCAATTACGTTACATGTTTCATCTGTCATCTCAATCTATGGTCATCACCAGCCTGCATCCACTCATTTGGGGAAGCTTACCATATACCTGTCCCTCTTGCGAGGTGCTTCACATGGATGCTCTCACTTCATCCTCATAACAGCCCCTGCTTCTGTGCAGTGGTACTGCAGAGGTACTCATGGGTAGTATTATCATGCCCATTTTATAGACAAGGAAAATGAGGCACAGGGAGGTCCAGTAACCGGCAGGAAGCCATTGTGGCCAAGCCTGGCAGACACGGTGGTGGCACCTGATCTCAAGTGCAGGTCAGTGGGCTCTGTCATTCATGTGCTGGACAATATGCCCCCGTGAGAATCTCCACAATACAGGCTTGTCCCCAGACGTATGTGGGGCCATGCTTTGGGCACAGAGATTTCCTGGTTCTTGGTTGGCCAGAGCTGCCGTTCCAAAAGTAGTTTAGAGAAAAAGGAGGGGGGGAATCAAAAGTAGAAGCACATACATTTGTAGCCTGTGGCCAACCCATCTGATTGTATCCGTGGCACTCAAGAGGCCGACGCCCATGTAAATAAGTCTTCGCAAGGGGAAAAAAGACCTGTAGATGACTATTTTAAGTCCCCCTCAATGGGAAAAAAAGAAATAAGTATATTGGTTGAAATGAATACTAACCTCGGCTTGATCCAGAAAAGAGAAATAATTGGTTGTGAATAGCTACTGTGGTAATGAATTGATGCAGTAAAGCCTAAAAATGAGCTTATTTTAGAGACTTTTGTCTTTGCTATCTGACCATCAGCTGCAGACCAAAAGCCCAGTCAACAAGACTAAAGTTCGAGTCTAACGTGTCCTGGGAGAATTTCCTTTCTTTCCTGAATGATTGACTGATTGATTTTTAACAAAATCCAACTTCTACTATTGTTTCAGATTTAATATGGAGATTGGGTTCAGGAGTTTGAGGCTATTTCTTTCTAACTTGTGCCTCCCACTCACTTCCACAGCCCTAAGCCAGTACCACCTGGCTTGGAGGGGAGGGGGGTTTAAAAAAGCTCCAAAAAGCTGGGCTTTTTAACGGATTTTCCTTCCCCAAAGTTAAAAGGTCCAGGAGGGAGGTGACCCCTTGTGCAGGCTCAGCAATGTCACTCTGGAAAGGTGTGGGTTATTTGGCAGGAGGGACGGCAGACCCTAGGCCTAGAGCGTGGGAAACTTTTTCAGACACTGGAGGGGATGGGGGGGTTGTTCAGAGAGAGGGTATCAAATTCCTGTTCAGCTCCCCGGCTTCAGTAAAGGACAGCTAGGTGGGGGCGAGGGGCAGGTTGCCAGGGGAGGGGGGAGACAAGGCCAAGGGCCCTGGCAGCGGAAGCCGACCCACTGATGCGCCCTTCACCTGTCTTCACTCTGCTCCCCAGGGAGAGAAAATGCTTTGACGGCCCTGGGTGATCACTGGGGCTGTCTGCTTGGCTGAACCGCCCCGTGTCAAACCAGTGCGTTTCAACAAAAGATCAGTGCTGTAAGGAAGGGGTAAGGGCTGCCAACACAGAACCCATCACCCCCTTTTTAGAAAGCACCTCATCTTTTAAAGGACCACCAGGGAACTGGTTTACTCAGGTGCAGTGGTGCATGGGGCTGCAGCAGCCAGCGCTGTGTGTGTGTGTGTGTGTGTGAGTGTGTGTGCTTGTGTATGCACACTCACACTCACACACACAGGCCTAGGCTGCGGCTCTCAGGGAGAGCAGCTGCTTCATTCTTTCTTTGAACATCTTTCTGAGTGACCTTTGTGGTCTTCCAGAAAGAGAAGGCCAGAAATAGAGCTCAATTTTCTTTTCTTTAGGGCCAACAGGTCATCAGATCAGTAAAACATAGGCTGCTCCCCCTCACCCCACTTGCCTGCGGAAGGCTAACAGCCATGAGGATTGTACAGAGCAGATGTGGAGTGGCCTGTCTAGGCAGTGGACAGAAAGGTGGTAGTACTTTAGTCTTCATGGGCTTTGCACTCTAACAGGATCAGGGTTGGTGCGCCATTAAATGTCGAATCCATTCTGCCCATAACTTTGATATTTGCAGCTATGGGGAAGCCTACGATCTTGGGAGCTATGGTGAACTTTGCTATCCAAAGGCCAACTCAGGAAAGGGATGAGGACATCCAGGAGCGGCCCTGTCCTCTTCCCACCCTGTGTTCCAAAGCCTCCCTTTCTGAAGCAGCACCCGAAGGCGAGTTTTTGTCCCCGTGCTGGGGTGATGGTAAGATAGAGTGAAAACGAAGCACTGATTGTTACTTTGCCCCTGTTGTAAGTCTATGTAAACATGTGCCTTGGGGTCTCAGAGGGGACAAGGCAAATAATTTCCACCTGTACCATCTCTGCAGTCCTACCTTCATGACAGTGCAGAGGGAAGCTGCCTTTTATAAAAGTGCAAGAGCCTTTGCCAGACTCTCGTGTGTGGCCTTCTCATAACTCACCTCCATTTTCTGCCCCTTTGGCTCATTCTAGTTCTCTCCACATCCACCAACTCCAACAGCCCCTCGCCCTCAGGAAGCCAGGTGGAACTGTTCCAGAGCATTCTTCACTTCCCATCCAGCTAAACAACATAGATGAGGATGATTTAAAATGAATTGGAACCCTGGGTGCTTTACTGACTTCATGCACAGATTGATCCATCGTGTGAGCTGTAGAGGGCTTAGCACTTCACGGTTGCCCTGTCCTTCTGTTTGGAAAAGGAATCTGGGTTTCCTGGGCCTAAGGATTTCAACCACTGTTCTTCTCTGACATTTAGGTTCATGTTTTAAAAAGGCCCAAGTGAGGTCTGGGGAATCCCAGACTCACGGATTTATCTAGGAGAGAGGCAGGGGATCCTGAGAAATTCTGCTCCAAATTTGGTTCTTAGGTAGAGCCCCATGTACTTAATAACTTTCCAATGAGAGGATACTCTCCCTGTAACCTTCAGTTCCCAGCATCCAGGCATTTTCTTGTAACTTAACATAAGAAATTCTTAAATCTGGGGCCCCTGGATGACTCAGATGGTTAAGCATCTGCCTTTGGCTCAGGTCATGATCTCCAGGTCCTGGGATCAAGCCCCATGTGGGGCTCCCTGCTCAGCGGGGAGTCTGCTTCTCCCTCTCCCTCTGGCTCTCCCCCTGCTTGTGCTCTCTCTGTGTCTTTCTCTCTCTCTCTCAAATAAATAAATAAATCTTAAAAAAAGAGAAATTCTTAAATCTACTACATTAATAGCTCAATTCTCAGCATTAAACCCCACAGTGTCATTTCCCACCTGTGCGGGGGGGGAAATGTGAGCCACAGCAAGCCTAAAATTGTTTTGGGCATGGCCTAAGCTCCCTTGGAGTGAAGGTGGTCTGGTCCTGAAACCATAAAATCTATAAACAAAGAAAAAAAAAATCACTTCCTGTAGGTAAAGGCCCAGTGGGGAGCACTGTTGAGTAACAGTAAGGAGATGTCTGCACCTTTTTTTGCCAATCTGCACCTCCCCCCAATGGATCCTTTGTTCTTTAGCAGAGAGCCATGTAACCACTTCCTGGAGAGAGAACAGTGGAGCAAAAGGCCTGTTTTTCCAATTAATCAATTAGAACAATACAAGACTCCCTGGAAATGTTAACAGGTGCATGCAGTGATTTCTGTTCATGGGTCATCAAAGAGTGACCTCCGAACATTTTTCATTTCTGGACCCTCAACATTATCCTGCCCTACTTCTTCCTGCCTATTCAGACCTGTTTACAATGGAACATAGCATTTTTCCTCCTCTGTCTCCATGTTCCCTTTGGCACTGTCTTGGGTGGTAGCTGGGACCTTCATACCTATGTCATCTCCTAGATGGAGAAGGTCGTACACTTCTTACTTTCCCATAACCCTAACACAGCAGTTTATACCCAGTAGGAGCTGGTCAACATTCTAATTGGGGCATGGTCTCAGTGACATTTGTTAGCCACTATGACACTGGTGTGATGAGCAAAACAACTCTGACCAAGGAAATCTGATCTAAAATGGTGTCATGCAGAGAATGTTAGTCTGGAGAGAGGGACAGTTAATTTAATTAAGGATCAATTGCTCTGAGGCCAGGTTCAGGAACTTTCAGCCATGTAAGCTAATTGGAATTTGAGGCAGAGGGGAAGAATAAGAAAATGCTGCCCTTTCCCAAATGAAAAGAATCAAGAACAAAGCTTAGGGGTATGGAAGCAGGCAAATGAGGACAGGAGCTACAACAGGGATGAGGTTGCCTTGTTGACCAGTCCTCTTCCTTGGCTATCATGGGCACCATCTCTGGGAAGACACAGAAGGAAGTACCAGCAAAAATCAAAATCAGGTTTGTCTCTGAAACATGGATTGGTAGGGTGAGTATTCTCAGGAGCCCAAGAGCCTAGATTTGAACTCCAACCACTTTTACTAGCCATGTAACCTTGGGCAAACCAAATAGGAACTTCCTGAGTACCTGTTGCTTTACTGATAATGGAAAAATGACGTTGTGCATCTCCTTCATGAGGGTGCTGGAAGAGTCAAATCAGATCAACATTTGCTTTGTAAAGCATGTCTATTTCAGCATAGATGAGGGTTATTATTTTTAATCCCACACACACTTTTCCCTAACCTCCCATTTCCTTCAGCTTCATCCCAGCCCATTTTAGCGGTACAGATTCATGTCTCCCCTAGGAACTTCTGTTCTCACCTCCCTTCCTCTCATCCAACTTTTTGAATCAGTCATTTACATTTTAGAGCAACTGAAGTGTTGTCACCTCCTGAAGGAGTTGCTGGTGTCTGAGGCAAGCTAAGAGATATTTGAGGGCTTGCCTTCTTGAATACCTTTGAAATCATACTATACTTTGCTGAGTGTACTTTCCATGTTAAATTGGCCCTTTTCTACAGCTACCATATTTTATCAATTTCAGGGCATATAATTTTGCTTTGTTTTTACATTTCAACATCTCTGAGAGCAGGATGTATTGTAATCCTTGGTGTGTCCTACTTTAATTATCAGTGTTTTCTTTTTTTAGTGGTGCATAAACTAAGGGTGCATCTCCCAATCAAGGGTGTCACACAGATGCAGTACAACACTGCTCTTACAGAGATGATATGATTGCTAACCAGATTCATAAGGGGGTGAGAAAAAAAGTGAGGTGAGGTAGTAGTTGCTTTGGAATCAGATTGGGACACAAAAAGATAGACTGTTTCATTTTCTTCCACCTTTCAACTCTTGAACGTTACCTGGATATTTGGATTCTGCCCATTGATGTCAGCTTTGGAAAGATCTGGAAAGTTTGGTAGATCAAGGAGAAAGGATCTGGGGCCATCTCTTTGCAGTGAAGGGTGCCCAGGCTGTTGCCGGAATCGCTGTCTGGGGAAGGGTTGGTGTGCAGCCTGGTGGTCCAGATGTTCCCCTGCTGCTTCTTTGGAGAAAGGAAAGCTCGTTTCTGATGTAGCATCACTTTCCATGTGGAGGTTATTCTAAAACAAACAAACAAACAAACAAACAAACAAGCAAACGGACAAATAAATAGGAGGCACATGATTTGAAAATACCCCCCTTAACAGACCATTAAATTCAAGAGCAAAGACAATTCACATGGCTGGAATTAAACCAGAATGGTATTCTCAATTCATCTTCACTCCCCTTGGTTTTAGTTACTCCATCTTCAAAAAGTCAAATCATCAGGAAACTTTTCCCAGCCTGCTACTTGGGAATTTTCTGAGGACTAAGATGTTACGGGATATTTATTACACATTGAAGCACATCAACACAAAAGTGCTATTTTGGAGGAGAATAGGTGTTCATTCAGAACTGGAATCAAATGATGGTTTCCTTCTCATAGCTTCAACTAATTAATCACTCTGGCATTAGTTATAGCCCCCGTGTCCAGAGCTTGTTTCTTTGGTGCAGGCCATGGAAAAAAGATCTGACCAAACTGGATAAAATGCTTGAGCCAAATCATTGACTATATCCATCCATCCATCCATCCATCCATCCATCCATCCATCCATCCATCCATCTCCCCATCCATCCAGTCAACAAGTGTCAGCCACATTCTAGGCACAGGACATAGAGCCATGAACAAGACATGGGCCCTATTCTCTTAATGTGTACAACTAATTGAGGGAAAAAATAATAAATATGACAAATAAAATCAGATCAGAAAGTGGTGACTGGTAAGAAGAAAGAAGAACATGATGGACAGTGGCCAGGGACAACATTAGACAGGTTGCTGGGGAAAACTTACTTGGGAAGGCGAGACCTGAACACCTGCTGCAATCTGAGGGAGGAACATTCTCACAGAGGAAACAGTAAGTAAGACAGTCCTCAGCTGGGGATGAACTTGGCCTCTTTGTGGGACAGAAAGAAGGCCAGTGAGGCTGGTATGGAGTGAAGGAGGGAAGACAGTATGTGATGAGGAGGAAGAGATGGGGATAGCCAAAGAAAAACTGACAAGAAGGCATTTTGAAATTTAATGCCTTTATTCTGAAAAGAAAAGTGCAAGTCTGTTGTTTTTCCCAGCTAGTAAAAAATGTCTCTATTTAGTTGTCATTTGGGTAAAATTTTTGTAGTGATTGAAGAGTGTAGAAGTTGCTGGACTTCTTTCCCAAACCAGCCCTTCTCCTCCTCTTGTTCTCCCTGGACCTCTCATTGGTGGCTTCCTCCATCCCTTCAGGGATCGCATTTTCATGTTTACTGGTGAAGGGAGATGTAGAGATAGAATTTCACCAGCGTTTGGGTCAGTGGTTAATGCTCTTGTTATTCTTGGGCATGTTTTGGGGTTTTGGAGTGTATATTCTAGCACACTGTCTCCACACGCACTCCCTGCCCCACCGAGGTGCCTTTGACCCAGCCAAAGGGTTACATCTGGTATCAAAACACTCCCGACTCTGAGTACCAAAGGTCAAGAACGGCCAGAGGATGAAACACATGTAGCAGATAAATATCTTCTTAGAGAGTTAATCTGAAGGCATGAATCTTTCCTATATCGTTTAAACAGAAATGGAGCTGAGGAATAAACGTGCTGGTGCAGAGACCACCTTGGTGAATATGCGAAGAGGGCAAGGGACCACCAGGCTGCACACTGACCCTTCCCCAGACAGAGATTCCGGCAAGGGCCTGGGGCACCCTTCCCTGTAAGTGCAAGACAGAGATAGCCTGTCTGCTCTCACCTCTTTAAAACATGCAGTTAGAGAGTTACACAGCGGGGAGAACCTGAATGCTCGTCATCATGTTTTTGCTTGCCCTCCCTTTTTTGCTCAAGAAATGTGGCCAAGGGCAGTGTCTTTGTTCACCTTTCCAGGCCCCTCTCTGCCATGGTTTTTGTCTCCGGGCACATCCTCGTAAAGGGAGTTGCCCTGGCATTCCCGGGCATTGCTCAATGCAATGAGGGCCAAATGTATTATGCTGAGACTGAGCCCAGCACATGGGGGGGGGAGGGGAGGGAAGGAGAGCAGGGGAAGGAGAGAGAGAGAGAGGAGCATGCTAAGTCTTCCCTCAACATAAGAGTTCTCTCTATCATAGTCCAAGGAGTGAGGACTGAAGGCAATTGTTCTCTTGTTCTTCTTCCTGGATCCCCAACCCTAAAACTTCTCCAACAGTGTTAGTGAGCACAGTTGGATTCTCATAGAGAATTTCTTGCAGAGGATTTGTGAGTATAACTCTCAGAAGGGAACCAAGGCTTGCTTGCCAATTGCTTCACGGATTGCCTGCATATCCAGCCCTAACTTTGTTGTAGTAACTGGGACACACTGCTTAACTGGGTTCAAAATGGAGCTCTCCTTCCTTTACCCTGTGAAGAAGTACACTTTCTACTCTTAAAAATCACATTTTAGGAGAAGAGATAGGAAATGCTATTTGGCATTTTGTTTAGATGGCTCAAAAACCAAGGACTGAATCTGATTGGTTTCTTGGTCTGACTCTGGAATTTCTTGGTAGGAGATATACCACCACAGAGTGATCCTGGCTTAGCATGGACCAAGAAAACCCATTAAACTCTCTGTGGCTCAATGATCCTCCATGTAAAACAGCAGATAATAAGGAGAGTCCCATGCTGTCCCAGCAGGATGGTCAAGACAACTCAGTTGGGTTGCGTGTACACATGAAAAAAGAGAGAGACAGAGAGACAGAGAGAGAGAGAGAAGTGTAGAGTTAGGGCAATCGGCTGATCAGCTCAGGCCAAAAGATCCTCTGCTGGGAATAGACTGGGGCTAAAGTATGTTTTGGCTTGAGTTCTGCACACAATTGTGGCATTTCTCCATCTTTTCCCAATACCCCCACCCATGCCCCAAACAAGCTTAGTGTTCATAAAGCATTTGGAAGATGGGAAGTAATAAAGAAACACTAATGACAATCTCTGAATATCTGAATTCCTCTTGCATCTTTATCAAAACATATTTAACTGGAAACCTTGGCTCTCAGCAATGGCATGGCCCCAAATTTCCAGAAACTGGAAGCCCTAGGATAGAAGGATGTCTTACAATGCCTCATATAAAATGAAACTCCACTTTATTCAATCAATAACAAGTTTCGGTAGTAGCCATTATTTTGAAAATCTCAATTTTACGTCTGGGGTGGGAGGCAGCAAACAGGATCCACCAACGATGCAGGAGAAAGCCTTTTCTTCATCTTTTGTCTGGGGGAACACGCTGCACGTCTTCCTTGCAGAGCCACCCCCCCCCCCCCCCGGAGGTCTTGGTTGATGGCCATCACTCCATCTCTATCAACGAGCTCACCCGCTGAATGTCCTACTTAAGTTATGCTAGCAGAGTGAAGATTCTCAGGAAGGGTGGACCACAAAATGAAGATTTTAAATAGTTTGTGTTTTATTTAGAAAAGCAAACGCTCTTTTCTGAAGGCATTATTTTGGGCGAGCCCAGGAGCTAAAGAAAGGAAACGTCGCCATGCTTTCTGCGGTGCTGCAGGATCATTTTGCCTAAATTCACATGACATGAGGAGGTTGGCTTAGCTTGAGAAAACATTTCTTTACCCATAATGCGTCTTTGAGCTGATCTTCAATCGGTGCTGCAGCTCCGGTCGCACTGTTCTCTCTGGAGCTGGGATTACCAACAAAAAGAGGAACCGAAGCACTAAGGCTGTTACATGCTCTATACACACGCACTGCTCAACAGCTGAGGCAGGCGATCTACAGTGACCAATTATATAGCTACTACTTGACGCTCCCCATCTTTGTGCATAAAGTCTGTCCTGTCCCTCCGTTATTTTACTACTATTCTTATCTAAAATGGGGGAAAGAAGTAATAAAATGTTAACAACTATGATAAAATAATGAAATGGGAGCCATGTATTTTGCCCTAGATGGCAGTATTGTGGCAGATATTGCAATTGCCTACCCAATTCTATCCCCCTATCATTCGTTCATTCATTCATTCATTCATTCATTCATTCATTCATTCATTTTTACTCAGTATTCCTGTCAGGTGGCCCTGTACCTGGCTAAAGCTACATTTCTCAGCAACCACCGCAGCCAGCAGCGACCATGTGACGCAGTTCCACCCAATGAGATGTACGCAGAAGGTGCTGGATGAGACTGCCCGGTGGGAGGCGGTCAGTTTACCTTTTGCTCTTCTCTCTTACACTTTCTCCTACCTGGAATGCAGATACAAGCGCTTCAAGTGAATGAGGCTGCTGGCAGTCACGAGGTTGAAGGCTAGTCTCTAAAGATGGCTGAGCGGAAAGATAGGGGAGCCTGGGTCCGGGATGGCAGGGTAGAGCCATCATAGGAATCCTGGACTGGTGACCTCTGATCTTTTACCACAGCCCCGAGCATTAATGTTAACGTTGACAATGCTGCAGCACCAGTAGCCACGTTCCCTGTTGTGACTCAGTATTAGAGCTGTGACTACCAGTGGAAAGGGAAAAGCCCTGTTCAGTGAAGGGACTCAAAGCTGGGTGCTCGGTTCTGTGCAATGCACATAATCGGCAGCGCACAGAGGTACCGACAGGGCACTTAGTGAGTCATCGTGGTGAACTTCACAGTGGCAGCCAGGCTACATATGCCCATTCTGCCATCTATGCCCTTCCCCATACGTTTACAGAGTCTTCTCATTGTGTCAGCATCTGTATATTACATTTCTCAAGTGTATTTCCCACTGTGTAATGTAATATTTCCTTTAAGTTGTCTTAAAATCCTATCATTAAATTTCAAGGAGTTTGCCCTCACGAAAAGAAACCAGAGCCCCTTGGACAAATGGCCCGCTGATTCCAGAGCTTGAGCAGGGAAGTATAGGTGAGTTTGGGATACTTGGATGCTCCAGAAAATGAGGAAGCTTTTAGTGGTTAATGGTGCCCTCCCAAAAGAACACAGGAGCCAGGTTAAAGGGCCCCCTCTGCACAAAGATTAGACAATTTGTGTGTCAAACAAACCCAAATTGTTTGTAGTTTACCACTGCACATAAAATCCATGCAAATCCATGAACTTAGGATGATACACACAAAAGAGAAAGCATGGAAAATA